CTATGAGATTTTCTATTTGCTTTTTTACGTGCACTGAATGAAAAGAGAATAGAAAGTTAGAATGCTTGTGCTCAACCTAATAGAAAATCTCATAGGACACGAATCATCTCTTAAAAAGAATGAGCTCCCATGCTGCTTTGCCCAAAATATTTTATCAATCAGAGCTGTAACTTTCGAACTACTGCAAATTTTACAGCGACACTCGCGCACATTCAAATGGTGATAGAAATGAAATAAGAATGTAGATGTTGGAGATAAAGTCAGGAATGAACACACTGTACTCACAACCATCTATATATAAGTATGCTATTGCAAGCTGAAATGGGTTTTCAAAATGAGGGTGATGTTGCACAAGTTTGGTCAACACCTGTAGCCCTTCTTCAGTCTGAAGTCATCATGTGTCATGAAACTACTTACCCTTTCTTTGTGAGATTTTTCTCCTCAATTACCGAAATTCAAATCTAAATGTTATTCCACCATTAGGTCGTAGTGCAAGGTTGATCACCGATTGGAGTATTTGGGATCCACCACGATGGGCGGTGATGGCCCGGTGGTAACATCACGAAACCATCACCTCGGGGATGTTTGGATCCCACCACCACCGCCTGACTTCCCCCTTTGTGTATTGAATGGCAGCCCTTTGAGTGACCGATTCCCTCTTCCTGAAAATTGTATCTTTGTATGCTCAATAAAAGGAAGTAAAATGAGAAAAAGAATCTAAAACGGTTTTGGCTACAATGACGTCGCAAATAAGGACAGCTGACGATTCGGACAGGAGATACGATGAGCTTTCATCGTACGATTGGAAACCCAACACCTTATTCAACAGCCCGCTCAAGTGTGCGGACAACCACGAGTATCGTTCACCTGTTAACAAACGTCACTACTACAACAGTCCCCGGGTCAACTAGACCATTTTAAGATTGATTGGAGAAACTATCACTTTAATTCACGAAGGCATTACCCTAAATTGAAAAGGCATCACTTGGAACTGGAAGACTGTTCATATATGATAAATGAAGAATTTGATCTGATTAGATGAATTCGTCGTGAGATGGAAGCACTGGACTACTGTTTCGACCTGATTGGTTCACATCAGCAACGTCGAAACTAAACCTCTTCCAAAGCCAGGACGAAACCTTTGAGCACTCCGTTGTCAGCTAGGTTGTAACAAACACCGAGCTTGTTAGGAAAATAAGTGGAAGTAGAAAAAATTCTTCTATACAAAATATTTCACGTCTCCATATACCGTGCAGACAAGAGCAACTGTCGTTGCGAGGACATCGATGTTTGCTAAATCAGCAAACATTAGGTCACTCAGGCAGGCATTATGCAGTATTTGGACGTAGTTACAGTCGTTAGGTATGACCACCGAGCTATCATCAATGTCCTAGCAAATATAACCAGTTATGCTTTAGCTGCGGCGCACACCAAGCGCTGCATCACACTATCCTTATACAAAAGGTCTACCTTATCTGTCGCGCGCAAGTCACACGGCTTCACCGAAACAACGATTCGAACTACTTCATACATATATATATTTATATATATACATATATATAAATACATATATCTACACTTCCGGGTAGAAGTATATGAATGAACTGACAAAAGATTACCGAA